TGTTTTTAAATGCAAAGTATTGGATCAGTGTTCTGCATCGGCCCATATAGGAATTTTTAATAAGGGAAAAATGGTATCAAGCATCTCTTATATTTAGAAAGTTGGGTCAGACAACGTCAGTGTTAAGTTCATACTTTCAAGAGAATGTAGCCACATGCGTCCCAGAAAGTGATTCGATCTCAAATGTGCCTGCAATGCATCTTGGGTATATTCACACCTGTACACGTCTGATCAGATAACCTGAGATGCAGGTTAATGCCTGTTGTGCTCAGGCCAAAGAGACACTATATTAACAAGTGTGTAAACACACTGTTATCTGCAGCGGGGATCTGCACTTTTTGTAAACACACACTTGAGGTTGCTCTTGATGACACAAGTGTCAAAGATCAGTCCAGCATCAAAACCATGCAGTTCACTGATGGCTGCGCTGTCGAGGTTAAGTGAGTTAAGATCAAATTGACACTTAACTTCTTGCACACAGCTTCACACTGATCCTGTGATGGCACCAGACAGCCTAGTGCTCATCAACACGTTTAAATATGCACTTCATCATTTATCACAGCTACCCACTTGTCCACTGAGAACTCGCCAGCTCCCTCGGGCTTGTCCTCGGCGGGCTTCTCGAAGCGGCGCTCTCGGGGAGGTCTCCTGTCCGGCCTCTTGTCTCCGGGTCGCCCTTCGCCCTGGCCGCCCTGGTGCTGGGAACCTGGCTGGCCCTGCTGGTCCGGTCTCCTGCCCACCCGCCTGATTCCTGCAAAACAGGAGCAGAAGTTGAAAAGGAGTAAACTCAAGAGTTACAGTCGTGCTTACTGTTCTACACAGGAACTTTGATGGAAAGGAGCAGTTTAAGCTCCTGGTGTACTGCGGTCACCTCTCAGCAGCTGCTAATGCTCTCCGTTCAGTGGGTCTGTCCATCACTTTTAGTTAAACCCTCTGTGCTCAGCAAATAGCATTCACAGTGAGATGACACCATCACAACAAACAGAGCGGCCCGATCTGTTCGCTCTGTCCAGTTCACAGGTGAATATCCTGCACAGCTCTGAGAAGCCTGCAGCCGGTGCACGGAGCATCCTCCAGCAGATCCTCCAGCAGACAGTAACACAACACTACACCTTCCTCTCCAGTGGAAACCATTTCTGCGACACAACACTGGCTCGGTCTGCACAGAGGACACCACCGGAGCTTCACGGTGACGCTGCTGACACCAGCCCGTCTGTGTCCTCAGCCTGTGAGGACGGACCGGTGTGTCCTCTACTCGCAGCAGGACAGGGTCCATGTTGCCCTCACGCTGTGTTTGGCCCGGACCAGCTAAGTACCGCAGCTAACGGGGCTGCACAGGACAGACCCAGATAAACACAGAGGCAGCGGGGAGGGGACGCTCACCTTCTTTCTTCAGGGGGACAGGGGGCTGGCTCTCCTCCTTCTTGTCCAGCAGCGGGTTCTTCCGGTCCTTCTGTGACTCCTTCTTCGGCTGCTTGGCTGCCTGCGCCGCGGTCTTGTTGGACCCCGCAGCGGCCCCCTCCTTCTTCTTGTTTTCGGCAGCCTTCAGGATCTCGAACGGGTCCGACTCGTCGTCCAATAGCTGGTCGAACCGGTTGGTCACGACGCAGCCGAAGCCTTCCTGCAGGTGTCCGGGCATGATGGCGCCCCTTCAGCGGGATTCTCCTCCGATTCTACGAGGCTTGATGCGAACGAATCGCGGGATGCGGCCACAAGATGGCTGGGAGAGCTGCCCCTTCTCTTCCGGTGCGAGCACCATCCGGGACACCGCGCCGCGCGCACCAATGTGAGCACGCGGCGGCCGCGATGTTTTTATTGACATTATGTAAGTGTCATGTCCTCCTGCTGTAATCCTGCTTTAATACGGCACTGGATGTTACACAGGAGGGAGCACCTCAGTGGATCCAACTTCAGACTGATGGGTCTGCAGGACACAAGCCTCTGATTTATATAAAACACTTAATACTGCAGGGAACAGAAATGAACATGCATGTTAATAAATATTCCATGTTTGTCTCACAGCTGAACACAGACGTCAACAGGAGACACTATATA